GAAACAGCATCACTGTCACCTGCATGGCACTTGGCAGCCACAGCCTGCCTGCTCTTATGAAACCCTCCTTCCTTCCTTCCTTCATGACTCAGGGCAAAATGTTCCCCTCGCGCCAGGCTGTGCTTTGAATCCCATCCCCTCGCGTTCTTATTTAATGCATCACTCGCCGCTGCCCCTTTGTATTCTTAACCTTGCTTTCCCAGTGGTTCTTTCTCAGGTTGCATTTATCGTGAAAAAATTCTCCCTCGATCTTATGACCGACCACCTCTAACACCATCTCTCATCCTCTTTACAGCCCAAATCTTAGGCTGTTGGTATTTTTGGTCTATTTTTATTCCTCGTTTCACTGAAATCTGGCTTCCGTCCCCGCCATTCCACACGCACACCTCCCCTGCGGTTCCTCGGAAATTCTAACTGCCAAACCCAGAGGGCACCTTGCAGTTTCCATTTCCCAGTCTCTCCGCAGCATTTCTTGCTGTTGAGCTCACCTACCTGTTAACAATTCTTCCCTCTTCTTGTTTCCCATTTCTTTCTTTTGTGGCTATTCCTGAGCCACGGCATAAGTGTCCTGAGATCCCAATGGCCCCCAGCCCTTGGGGTGGCCAGAGCCCCTGGGCTGGCTGGCTCTAGGCCTCAGCCACCTACTGTACTCACTTCAATGTGCTGTGCAAATACTGCCACTGTCCCCGTGTGTGGGACGTGACCAGGCCGGAACGCACTGCCCCAGGGTTCTATCCTAAGTTCTCTCCCCTTTAGATACTGTCCATTCACAGTGGTCTCACTCGGTCCCTTTTAGGCAGATGAATTAGCCAACTCTCCAGTCATTGGGTCTCTCCTGAGCCAAACACCAGTAAGACCTAACAAACATATTGGAAGACACCTTAAACCTGACAAGCCCAGCACTGACCCCTGTATCATCCTTCAATCCGGTTCCCCTCAGTGGACAGCATCATCACTACTTGGATGCCCAGGCCGCACGCCTGGTATTTATTCTTAATTCTTCTATCTTCATTACTGTGATAGGTAATCAATTATTAAGTTACATATTTTGCTTATCTGTCAAATCGAATCTCTCTTTGTTATCACTAACACTTAGTTCAGGTCTTTAGAATTCCGACTGAACAACTATGAGATATTCATTAGCTTCCGAAACATACAGTGCTTCACGCCCCCGTGATGACCTTCTGTACGGACCAGGCTTTATACGTTTCCAGACTGTTGGGATGCAGACTTGGGGGCAGAGGCCTGCTCTGGCCAAGGACACGTGTGTGGCAGTGAACACCAGGTGAGCCTTCCTCTCTACCCCAGGGAGAGGCTGCTCCATCAGCCTGGCCCTGGAGTGAAGATGGCATGGAAGCTGACTGCAGCTGATCCGTGATGACAGTAAAGCACCAGCAAGGAATAAGCCTTTCCTTTTATAAGCAAAACAAACCAAAACAAAAACACCACCCAAACTGTCCATCTATGTTGCCCAGGTCTGAAAACACAAAAAGGCTTTGTGTTCGATCAATTAAATTTAGAAACAATTAAAACTTCAATCCAAATCATTATGGTGATAGTCTATAAAGTCCATCTGTCCTGCTCTACCGGACCAAGCTTCTCAAGCTGTTAAGCGTCTTACTGAGGTTGGGGGCCATGGCTTATTTCGGAGTCTTGCGTGGACTCAGTGTGCGCCCACATCCTTGTCGGCACACCTGGGCACCCAGGCAATATTTTTAGTCAGCTGACTTTTTGATTCCTGAGAAACTGGTTTGTAATAAAAAAAGGAAAGGGCACAAAAAAAATCAAGGCCACTTTGCCCTACACAGATCAAAGCAACAGGAATCAGCATCAAAACTACTTCTGAATAGAAGGGGAAAATACTTTTGTGTAAAGAAAGAACAATATTGAGAAAAGCCCTCAGTCTGTTTTGGACTTAAAGCAGTGGCAAAGCCTTTTTTACTTCCTTATATACCGATACATCATCAGCACCTCAAAAAATTCAGACCCAAATAATAATGGCCAGTATCTGAAAACATTTAAAATATTAAGCCAGAAGAAACTATAAATAATTCACATCCCAAAAAATAACACTTATAAGAGGTTCATCCCTGCTAGCAAAGATATGTAAAAAAAAATCCTTGAAATAGTTATCCTTTTTATACTTACTGTAGAAAAATTTACACTGAATTTTGCAACACTTTCATTAGCACTCAAATTCAATGCTGATGACACTGTAAGCGAGTACGACTTTTTTGAAAAGCAATAAAATTCCTTTGTTTAAAAAATGTGTGACTGTGGATGAGTATGGAAAGACAATACGCGATAATGAAAATAGCTGTTAGGACGATGATATCATGGGCAATTCAAAACGCCACCACACACGCTCTCTTTTCAATTTTTACAAAGGAAGAAAAATAAAGAGCCAGGGAATGCATTAAAACAAATTTCTGGCGTGAATTTGCCACCTTAAATTTTCTTCCTGGGAATTAATTTAGAAATAGAACATGTAGGAGATTTGGATCAAAAACAAAACCCATCAAAAAATGAAAGCAGGAAAAAAAGAGCACTTATCTATTTTTCTTATACTGATAACACGCTTATCTTAAAAAGATGGAGGAAGCCAATATACTGCCATTGTTGAATAATCTATGTGAAAAAACTGATGGGGTTAATTTTTATAAAAATTTCATTTGCACATAGCTGCTTTAGAATTTTCATAAAAACATAGTTTTTAAAAATGAGCATAGAGGCTGCCCTTTCATGTTTTTCTATCCCAGCACAAAGAAGACTTACAAAGGGTCAAACGTTGCTACAGGCATTCACCTCGTATTCACATCTGGCCCCAACACATCCCAGAGTCACAAGACCCCGTCACTCTAGACTGTGATTATGTTGACTAATAAAACAAAACTTTTGATGTTTGGCACTAAAATTCATTTTAAGACATTTCATAGGGGTCTTTTCTAAGTTTTTTTTTTTTTTTTTTTTCCTCTTGAGCTAGCCTCTTGAGCTATTACATTTCTCCTACAAATAAACTTAATTAGTTGAAATTACTACTCCAAATGATGTACAATCCATTTCCCATTCAGTAACTGCTGCTCAGATGTCCGGAGTAAATTATCTCCATACTGAATAATAACGCTCATGAGTCACTGATGCTCCTGGCCCCAGAGTCCCTCTCATATCAACATCAAGGGGCTTCCAGTTAAAACAAGAGTAGTTCCGCCTCCTCTGAGAGCAATTCCAGAAAGAAACTCTTTTGGAATGATTCTGCTCCAAAAAGCAGTCTCGACTGAGGAATCTGTCAATTTTTCTAAGTAATCACTCCTCAGAGCCAAAAGTTGCTGAATTGCCCAGGTTATTTTATCGAAATGGTATGAATGTTTCATTTGATGCTTCATTCCGTCAACCACCCACAGCTGGCCGGGAGCTGTGGCTCGTTCTAGACACTTTTAAAGCAGTGCTCAGGGCCAGTTTTTAAATTATTTATTTCTAATCCATCCAATGGACTGGAATTTGTGAAATCCAACAAAAATGTATTAGGAAAATGGACTTTTAAAGCCATGTAAAAATAAAACCCAGTATCTTATTATATCAGATATTGTCAAATTACTCTTAAAGTTTCTAAACCTTTCTTCTTCATTTCCATGTCACTGTGGACTAGTGACAAATGGTGTGGTCAGCATTTTGAGCAGCACCCTTGTACAGTATATAGCTAGCCATGAAAAAAACAGTAGGTCCAATAGCAAATCCAATTACTGTCCAAGTCAGAACCCAGCAGAGTTGCTAAAAATCCTCTCCCAATCAAACTTCACCTTCCCTTGATTAACTTTAAAAAAGATAAACGCAGTCAGGGGTCAGAAGCCTTTGGTTTTTCAAAATCCAGGTTCTAAGTAGTTCATGACCGGGGTTTTTTATACATCCTTCCTCATCACCTAATCTCCTTAAAAACACTATAATGATGACCTTTCAGTGAAGCCACATCATCTGTAACAAAATACCCTGGAGAAAACCAGCTAACAGACGAAGTCACTGAGTGTCTACTAAATGCCAGAAACTCTCTAAGGTGCTTTCCACATAGCTCTGCTCATCACCCCTAGGAGTTAGACATTATCTGTATTTTATTTAGTGTATAAATAAACTATGCTTCTGAAAAGCTGGGTGACACACCACGTTCGGTGAGAAGAATCTGCTGAGAGATCACAACCCAGGTCTGTGTGTCTCCACCACGCTCATGTCGCCACCAATAAATCATTTCCATTTTTGAAATTCTACATCAAACATCACTGGAAGGTCTGTGCCAACGGAGCACCATCGTACAGCGCGGTGCCTTGAACGCCAGACTGTGGGGGTTGGAATCCTGGCTCTACCACTTCTGAGCTGGGTAACTGTGCTCGACCCCTCCGTCCTCGTGTGTCAGGTGGAGACACCACTGCCACCGACCTCACGGAGTTCTCCCGGGACTACACAAGGTAACTCGCACAAGAGCAGAGCGCAGACGGGAACCATTCTCAGTAACCCCCTCTTCCCATTTCCAATCAGCTGGCCTGTACAGTCAACTCTGCTTCCTATCTCAATGTCTCAATGGCTCTCAATTCCCACTGCCACCACCACAGTGCCAGCTACCAATTCCTCCTCCCCCGCGGCTAGACGTTCCTCCTCCAGGCCACTTTCCATGCTGAATCCCAATGCCCCCAGACAAAGTGAAAATACCTGCACCTTGGTCTGCAAGGCCATGGCCTTCCACTTAACTTCTCCTGCATGTGTGCGTGTGTAAACATATTTTTTTAAACCTCCCTTAAAGCTCTTCAAGCTACAGCGGTATTGAGGGTCTTTTAGCTCCCTGAATGAGCCATACTCTCTGCCACAGGGGGCTTTTATCTGGTGTTCCTTCTCACTGGCTAACACCAACATTCTTCTAGTCTGAGGCAAGAACTCCCTCCTTAACCACCCTGCCCGAAATCCCTACTCCAAACAGCCCTTTATATTATTTACCCCGATTCTAGAACTCGTCACACTGAACTGTAATTGTCACTTCAGTCATCTGCCTCTCTGCTCCTAAGCGAGTCTTAAATCCCGCTGTATCCCCGAGAGCCAGGCATAGTGCTACGTATGTAACTGCACAACGAGTGTGCTCACACAGTGACGGAGCAACCGACTTTTTATCTCATTGATTAGCTAACAGCTTGGAAAGAAAAAGGCCAAAAAAAAATAAGCCCTATGAAAAAGGTGGAGCGTTAGCTTCTGGGCTTCAAAGTCATAAGAGAACCAACAGATGGCGACGCACAGGGCTAGTGTTTAAAAAAAGGTTCCCAAATGTGCCAGGTACACCAAGGAGAACAAGCTTTTGGCTGGCCACCCTGGAGGCAGAGGCTTCAGGAAGACACCCTGCCTCTTCACCGCATCCCTCTGCTCAGCTGGCAGTCACCCTGCCAGAGGCTGCCTGGCTCACCACTGCCGGGGTCACAACACGACACCTTCGAGTGGGGCGGCAGGAGTCGAGCCCACGGCAGTCTTCTAACCAGCCCATGACAGCTGAGTTCAGATTAAAAAATTAGGCACAGATATATAAATTGAGAAGTTATCTTATCATTCATATTGGAGATGACTGGTAGCTTTTAAGCATCTTGCACTGGCATCAACATTTTAAAATATACTCACTGTTGTGGGTTGAATTAAGAGCCCCCCAGACAGTTATATTGAAGGCGTCCTAAGCCCCAGTACCTGTGGCCGTGACCGCATCTGGAAATAGGGTCTTTGCAGATGTAACCATGATGGATGTAACCACGAGTGGGACCTAATCCAGTGACCAAAGTCCTTATAATGAGAGAAACTTGGATATAGGCACAGAGGAGATAAGGCCATGTGAACCAGAGGCAGAAATTAGAGTGGTGCATCTCTAGTAATGGCACACAAGGATTGCCAGCAACCACGAAGCTATAAGAGGCAAGGAAGGATTCTTCTCTAGAGCATCTGGAGGAGCATGGCCCTGCGGACACCTTGTTTTCAGACTTCTAGCCTCCAGAGCTACGAGAGATATACTTGATGTTTTAAGCCACCCAGTTTGTACAGTTTGTGATACCTTGTTACAGCAGCCCTAGGAAACTAACACACTCAACTAAAAGTGTTTTAAGGGGGGAAAAAAAGTTAACTGGCTCCTTCCCTAGGCAGACAGTAATAGTTTTGAGACATTACACTGAATAAAATAAAAGATAAATTGCACATTCTTTAAGAGCATTAATCTAGACTCTTTTGAATTTTTGTTATATTTTTGAAGCTTAGTTTTAGTTCACCAGACAGCACTTTTCTATAAATTAATGCCCTCATCACTGAACACGTTAATATTTTATGCTATCATCCCAGCCAGGTGCATATTAATTTAGAGGAGGATGCTACCCCTAACTGCAGAAACAGCAAAGCAAAAGGGAACTAAAATATTCTTCCAGGCCTTAAAACTGAAATTTCACACTCAACAGAGTTCAGTTGTGCGAAGACAATCAAGAACAGAAACCAACCAGTTAGCAAGATGCTGAATGAAACCTGGCAGAGTGTCCACACACGTGTGCATCTATGTATGTGTGTGTGTGTGTTTACAAGCACAATGTACACTGTAGAAACCATGGTGACTATGGTGGCCAGATAACAATTGCAATTTTTAACTCCATACTTAAGCTGGAATCCTATCAGATGCCTCTTCCCAACCTTCACCACGTTTTCCAACACAGACACATTTTGAGTTTACAATCAATACTTAATAGTAAGCATCACGATATTCAACTCCTGGATAACCACGGACAAACATGAAGAAACACTGACACCCAGAGGCCCGGAGTGGTCAATTTCCAATTCTACTGTCATTTGCTTGATCTTTTAAAAGCATCACTTTCAAGTCTTCTTGATACTAAAAGCTAAGAGGCAGACATATCATGTAACCTCAAGGTGGTTCTGAGATAACTCGTACTGAAGCTCTTTCTGGGTATGAATGTCATTATTAACTAACTACTAAGAAAATATAGGAGAAATGATAAAAAGATTTAAGGCACATCTCTATAAATCACTCTCATCGTTTTTACCATTTAATAGCCCCGACAGTACTACCAGGAATGAAAAACAATTCCAAAAAGAAAATGTGCGTTCTAGAGACAACGCCTTCCTTTGAGGTATTCTCGGTCATTAAAGAGCTGTAAAGAGGTAGAGAAGTAGCTCAAGTACAGCAGAAAGAACACTAGCTTCAGAGTCCTAGATCTGCCGCTTGTAAGCCAGATGATGTTGTGCACTTTTAAAGAGAGCTAAGGAAGTGCAGGTGACCCACCTCTGCACAGACGGGGTGGATTCCGATGGTGCTGTCCAGCTGATTTTTGGTCAGGCCACACTTGAGCGCGGCTGCAAAGCCCTGTGTGACTTCTCCGGCATTTGGACCCAGTACGTGGAAGCCCACGACACGTTCCTAAGATATTAAAAAAATCATTTTAACTAAGGTTTTAAGGATAGATAGCACAATTAGACTTAAGACCCTTGCAACCTGAAAACATGTTTGAAAGCAACAGGAAAATGTTTGGCAACTCTGAAATACCAGTGTGGGAATTATTTTGGATCAATTCTAAATCCCAAACTCGGGTGAATCTCTGATCTGATGCATTCTACTGTTGAGACTTCCAGCGCCAACTGTGACTGAGCTGGCTATCTAGACCAACGCCCAACTTTCTCCTGAGAGATGCAGCAGCTACTGCTGTAAGGTGCAGAGCCTTATCTAAGATTCAACACTCCGTGGAAACCAACCAGAAAGGAGGTCATTCTGTTGCCAAAGTAATGTAATATTTTCCACATTCGACTTACATTATTCATCTTGACAATCGCAGGTTGAGTATATGGATAAGTAAAGCACAAAATATACTAGGTCTTAAAATATACTAGATGTACATGTAATAATATGGATAGATCTCGAAAAAATGAGGTTAAAAAAAGTTGCAACCTTCTGTTTAGCTGAGGACACCACTCAACTTAAACCACAATGAATAATGTTTATGGATACACCGTAGGTGGCAAACATACAAAAATATAAACTGGTGACACACTCCAACCTCAAAACAGTGTTGCTTCTGGGGTAGGGAAGGAGTGAGGGGTACAGGATCAAGAAGGAATACAAAAGACGACACAGGCAAAGGATACGGTTAATAGCATAGAATCTACACTGCCTGGGATTGAGTTCCAGCTCTGTCATTAACTAGTAAGTGCCCTGGCACAAGTACTTAACTTCCTATTAATGTATATGCACACAAACAAACTTTTAATAAAACTTACATCTAAAAAGAAAAAAACTATGTAAAATTGTTCTTCATGTCAACTCTAGATAGCTCATTATGGGTTATCCTAATATATTCATTTATTAAATATATCTATGATGACCTATTTTGCAGAAGATCCAGGTTTTCCTAAAACCCTCGGTTCTGCAAAAAACGATTTGCAACTGTGTTATCTAGAGCAGTAATTTCTAAACAGTATATACAGCTCAATGTTAAAATCCTTAGTTAGGAAAATTATGAGTTTATTAAGCTTGTATATAACATGTGGATTCTTATAGCATCATTTATTTTTACTAAGGACATTTTTCTCTTAAAATAAGATCCCAGCTAAGTTAAAAATTCCAGTTCTCATAAGATTTAATTCACACCACTTACAGAGTATGTGTGCAGACATACATGTGACCTGGGTTACAACACAAAATGGGGCAGTAGGTGGAAACGTTTGAAAACCAATGGTTTATTCAATCACTCTGTAAGTATGGAAACAAGTTCTGCGAGGTCCGGGCATTTGCCCATAGGCCTTCACTTCCAACTGCTACACGTAGCAGCAAGCAAAGAAGCCTTAAATCAGAACCCAATTAAGACTCTTCCCATCACGGCTTTCTCATCTATGCCAGCTGCTTAGGATATGAACTTGCACTACTCCTGCTCTTTTTCATTTTGCCATTATTTTCAGATAATCGATGACTTAATCGGTTCCCTTTCATATGCACAAACACAAACAGTTCTCAAGTCGTCTCTCTGGTTCTTTTATTCAGCAAGTTCTGACTACCTGCCTACTATGTGTAGGGCTCTGTGCCAGTGACGCTGAGGGGACATCAAGCCGTGTCACCACGGTCTTTGCCCTTGGAAAATGTCTGCGTAGCTGGGGAGACCAACAGGCAGAAAAGTAAAGGAATGCAGTGTGTGTCACATGATCAAAATAGTTACATATTAAAAACAAAATGAAATTAGTTGAAAGGATTAAATGGGAATTACACTTACATTGTCATTGATATTACAGACTATTTTTGCGTAGCATTTGTTGTTATCTCTTGATGGAATTGTCCATTCCAACGGCCAAAAGTAACTATGGTAAACCTAAGGAGATATAAGCACAATTAGATCCATCATCTTAGGATATTTGTTTGTCAAACACTAGCTGTGGTATGAAGACAACTTCAGTAGTTAGACTTTCATTAAATAATAAAATTCATGGACTAAATAGGAATCTGGTTGGAAAGTAAATGACTTTAAACTCCTTGTGGTCAGACCGTTTTTGCTAGAAGCTCATCCTTTAATTACATCTCAACCTCAAAAGAGTAAACCTTAAGTAATAACAACAAAGCAAGCAAACGAGAGAAAGAAGCCACAGAATTACTTGCTGCCTTGCCTTAAAAGTGTGTGGGGGGGCGGGGGAGAAGGGAAAAGAAACCCCAAACTCTCTTGTTACCTTACTGGAAGCAAGAAACAAGGTGCCAGGAACAATTATAGCCATTACCTAGTTCTTTTGCTTATGCTTCCAAAGACATCTCCTCCTTTGGCATTTTTCACCAAAAGTATTAAAGGAAAGAAAAAAGGAGGGAGGGAAGATGGGCAAATGGAAGGACACACAGACTTCCTTATTGAAGTTTCAAAAACTTAAGTCCTGGATGACAACAGAGATTTATTTTCTCCTCACACTGTGAGCCTCAATTCAAAACACATACAGTTGGCTACCTTTTAAACATATACTGATTATGTAGAAATTATAATAAGTGCCTTTTATATTATAAAATGATGTGCACTTTTTAAAATGTGTTACAAAACTGAATGTACAGTATCATAGAATCACAATAATCACACAGAGAACAGATGATTAAAGAAATTAACCTCAATTGCTATGTTACAGGTATAATTCTGAGTAATTGCTTCCCATTTCCTTTATATTTTTCAAAATTTCTTCAACTCAAATTCAAATCCATTACTCTTATAATAAAAAATGCAAATTCTAATAAAACAAAATCCAAAGATTGTCTATCAAGAAATATGAGATATTTTAAATACCTTTGATAGAACTCCGTTCTCAGAAAATAATCAGAGAAACAGACAATGAATAATGAAGAGGTTCATCACTCTAGTAATAATTGTGAAAAACTGTGAACTATCTAACAAAAGAATGGAATAAAAAATTATTGTATAGCATCCCTAAAAAAAAATGTTACAAGTCATTTAAAAAATAGTATTTTAAGGGGGAAATGCTCGTGGACCTAATATTAATTATAAAGTAGGATAGAAAATAGAATGTAACTTAATCACACATTTTAAAAAATGTAAGACATCTATAGCTACACAAAATTACACACAATATATAAACACTTACAAATACTTAAGAAACTAGAATATACCAAAATATTAATAGCAGTTATCTCTTCATGAATTAAAATTTCCTTCTAGTTTTCTCATTTTTCAAACTCCTTATAATGAAGATATATGTTTTTAAAATCCAAAAAGAATGTTAATAATGTTTACAAATAAATCAAGATCTTACATGCTACTACTAATGCATGTTATAAAGAAAAAGATTGCTAAGAGAGTTAAAATAGACTCTTATCATAAAATTTACTCTGATTCACAAAACCTGATCTTTTAGAAGGTTTTACTAAAGACTTTTTCTTAAATGATTTTAAACAACAGTCTTTTTGTGTACCCTTATTTGTGTACATGAAAATAGCATATTTCATGTGTATTTTCCTTGACTATATATAATAAAAGATGAGTGGCAAAGTTAATGTATATCAGAATATAATGGTAGGAGAAAAATACTAACAGAACAGCAGAAATATAGTTAACTTAATTTTCTTCTTTGTATATCCCTGTATTTTTCATATTTCCAACAATACTTTTTAAATAATAAAGATAAACCAGTAAAAGTGGCTTTAAAAAGTAGAAGTTATTAGTGGGTCAACTGACAAAACTGAAAAATAGAAGGTAGGTCAGATAAAAGTATTCTATCAACATTAAGTTTCCTAAAGATGATAACTATCCCGTGCTTATGTAAGAAAAGGTCCTTGATCACAGAAAATACACACTAAAGTATTTAGGAGTAAAGAGGCATTCAACTTACTCTCAAATGGAAATATGAAAAGTATAAAACAGACGGGCAAAATGTTAATAATACACGATTCTGGATTATGAGTACAAGGAAGTTCTTTGTACGATTTTCAACTTTTCCGTATGCTTGAAATTATTGTAAATTTGGGGTGGGGTGGGGAGTAACAATATAGGAGTAAAGAGTAGAACTTACCTCAACATTTTCTTCCCCAAATTTCTCCACAGCTTTCTCTTCAGAAAGGCCACAGGCACCATATTCCAAAGGAGTAAACACAGTTGTTGGAACATTTTCATAGTCACACTGTTTCAAAATGGAGAAGAATTATGATAGGAGAAATAATAGCTCAAAACAGCGTATACTTCAGAAAGGTTCAAAATTAGGGGACGAAAGCAGACAAATTTCTACAAAAAGTACAGGAAGGTACAATCCCAGATATAAACCTGCAATGCTGAGAAACATTAACTGATATGACGAAGCTTTAGCGGAGGTTTAAAGTCTGGCAAGACCAGTCACGAATAAACGATTCACGTGGCTTCTCCATCCACCTACCAACTGCTGTTAACGACAAGGACATACTTTTCTTCTCCTTTTAATAAAGCAGCCAAGAAAACGATATCAGTGTACCCAATGTTGACGGTCTCGTTATCGGTGACAGAAACTAATAGACTTCTTTGGAAAATTAATTAGGTAATACACATTAAGAGTCATAAAAATAGTTTATACCTTTTGGCCCAATAACTCCACTCTTAGAAATCTATAACAATCTACAGAAAAAGCCACATACACTGACTGAGCAGTGCTGCAGGAGACATCGACAGTGACAACACTGGAGCAGCTTTAGAATGCAGATAAGGAAGCGGTTCTATAATACGTACTCTCAGAGTAATGTCATGCGGGCATTAAAGAGAAATAAAAATGTAATGAAAACCACAGAAACAAAAAGCTAATGGTTATGACAGTATTTCCAAAGCATCTTTTTTGTTAATAGGCATAGATGACAAAAGGGTTCCGAAGTCAAAGAAGTTGTAAAATGCTGTATTAAGCAAATAAATAGGTTTCTCAACTATCGGATTTCTCAGAGCCTTTATTACGCCGATGTGAACTGTAAAAAACATTATTATGTAAATACGAAATATGTTTGTAAATGCTATTTGGTAAAAACCTTCCCAGTCGCATTTGTACACAGAAGTGAGCCTTTCTGCATCAAGAACATGAGAAATTGAATTCTCGCTCTCTAAAACTGTAAGGTGAAATCTTTAAAATGTACCTCCCTCTAGAAACAATAAATAGAATCCTTTTCCTCTAAGAAGAACATAAACCTTTGGAATTCTGATTTAAAAGCAAAGGTAGACATCCATGTACAGCCATGATGGTGTATTAGGGACCTTCCTGCTTTAAACAACTAGCAAACCAGACAAATATGAAACAACACTTTTTAGACATTAAACAACAGCTACCAGGCAGAACCCCGAAGAGGGTGGAGCTGCACAAAGAGAACTCTTGAGATCTGCAGAGATCTCCTGAGGTTTAGGCTGAGTACGGATCTATAATGAGCCAGAGGAGAGGAGTCAAGGGTGAGGAAAGAGCCGCTGAAAAGCAGGAGGCCCCAAAATGACCAGGGCTCTTACAGGACTGAAAACAGTTCCTGTTCCTGCAGCCAGAGTAGAATTCATCATGTACAAGGAACAGGGTGGCATTCTCCAAAGGGCATCGATTGAGTAGTGAAACTAACTCGGCCCTAGGTGAAAGGTTGCTGTTGACAGACCCTAAGAAAGCTTAAAAGCAAGTTACAAAGGATAAAACTAATTCTATGTAACTTAATGGGCTGCCAGGACAAAGTCCAACCCTGTATGTATAAAGGCACTCAATTGAACAATGTAATGTGTACAATATTCGCACCCATATGAAGCATCCAGATGTGCAAAGAAGGAACATGTGAACCAATACCAACAGAAAAATCGACCAACAGAGACACTGAAAAGAGATGATGAACTTAGCTGAGGACATTAAAGGAGCTATTATAAATGTTTTGTATATTTGAGAAGGCAGAAAAGGAAATTTATTTTAAATAAAACTTAGAGATTAAAAAAAACTATTTGAAGCACAAACTACACAGAGTGGTAAGATTAACACAGTGCAGAAGAAGAGATCCATGAACTTGAAAACATCACAGTAGGTTCTCTAAGAAAATGAAATACAGAAACAGGAGTGAAAAACTCATCTGAGACCCACGGGATAATACTGAGTGACTCAACATTCATTCTCTGGAGGCTGAGGGAGATAAAAAGGAGGAGAAGACAAAAAAAATAATTGAATGGCTGAAATTTTTGATAAAAATTATAAACAGATAAACCTAAGAACCTTGGACAAGTAGATTATAAAGAAAAGCACGTCAAGGCATCCAATCATCAAATTGCTAAAAAACAATAAGAAAATCTTAAGAGGAACAAAGAGAAAAATGATAGCATACTTTTCTTTAGAATCTATGTAATCACAAGATAATGGGCAAATTATTAAAATATTTAAAGAAACACTGTAAATCTAGAACTCTGTATTCAGCAGAAATATCTTCCAAAAACATGATGGAAAAGTAAACTTTTTTTTAAAGAAAAACAAAAGCCAAGGAAATCACTATGAGCGGACATGCAATCGATAACTGTTTAAGGAAGTTCTTCAGACAAAAAAAAAAAAAAATGGTACATTTGATGGAAATATAGATCTTCATAAAAGGTGTTTGTCCTGGGTCCCAAAACTCAGTTTCCAATGGACTTAAAGGGACTATCATGGCTTAGTCCGGGAAATGTAATACTTGTTTTTAATACTTTTATTTGTAGAGAACACTTTGCTGTTTTCACAACAATCAACTTGATGAACTTTTAGAATACAACACACTCAGAGGCTGAAGGTCTATGTTCCGTGGTTCTCTATAGTTTCCACATAAAATAGTTTATATTTACTATAAAATTAGGTTAACCTATGAAGTACCACTCTAAGTAATAATAAAGATGCTAATGTTTACTACTGGTAAAAATACAAGTATTTCAAGCGTTTGAGAGCAATTCTAAAAAGATCCAACAGATGACAACTAGTCATTCTGCTGAAGTGGCCATCACACTGCCTGTGCTTTAAAGCTGATCCGTGTGTCTTATCGTTTAGTTTTTTAAAGAGCTTAGTGGAATATCCATCATCTACACGCTGACTTAGCTTTATGGTCTGTTCTCTATCAGTTTTTGAAGTGATAAAAACTTTTTTTCATTCCTTCATGTTCCTAAAATAATGGAATATATAGTTTATTAAGTGGCAAATATTTTTAGCAACTTTGACAATATCTTTAGTCATTATTAAGTGTTCAAAAGTTTCATTAAAATTTTCCCACTGCATTTTCCACTTCATTTTATTTAGGAAAATTATAAGTTATAGAGGCATTTGCAAATTGGTGGATTCTTTTAAAGTTTGGAGAGATCTATTCTCATCACCTATTCTTTTATAAGCAATAAACTGTCATGGTTAAGAGCAGTGCCTACAATCAGATCTGGACTTGCTTTATGCCTTGGCTGCCTACTAGCATTGTGACCTTGAACGGTTACCTAATTTTCCTGTAGTATGTCATCAGTCCCCACAGCTATCATAAAGCTGAATGAGATAATGCTTACAAAGCACTGAGCACAGAACCAGGCACCTCAGAAGCACTGGCATGTACCTGGTCTTTGTCTCCTTTTCTCTGGCAACAAAGACTATATGATACTAAATTTTTCTTTTTTTTTTTTTTGGAAGAAGGCACAAATACTCATGATTTAATGTGGTTCTCCTATAATCTCGTAACAGATATTAACTTAGCCAGGTGTTTACATTAAGCTGAATTTTTCCACAGAGAGCTGCTCCTATGGAAGACAGGTGTGGATTCTCTCGCCTTCTTAGATAGATGAGAACGTTCTCATTAATGTACGTTGGACAAAATTAAAGGGATTATGCAGTTGCTTTAAAAGAAACTTGTGCAATTTCCCCAATGACAATTAACTTAGCCATCTACTGGCATTTCAGCTTTATTTACTACATTGAAGGACAGACCAGTGAGGTTTCAAACCCAGGAACTTGAGCGGCACCTTTTTATTTTCCTGTTCAATAAAGCACCTGTCATATTACACTAAAAATAAAGGAAAAAACAAAACAAAACTAAACTAAAAGAGTCCTTCTATTTACATTAAATTCTGTTGCTGATAAAAGCTTCAGGCACTTAAGAAAGAATTTGCTCTACCTGAAAGATGCTAGAGTATAGTACTATACCCACACATGGAAAGATATGTCCAAAGTAGGTGGGCAAACCCATTAAAATTTTTTTAGGAATTTTGTGCTACAATTATTTCAAATTTATTTAGGAGCACATTTTTCCATGTGTGCCCTTTAGTTATTATTGCTATATAATAGTATCTCTTCCATTTTAGGAAACCACAAAGATTGCAGGTTAAATGCATCTCAAGCTATATTTCTAGATACTTTTTCTTGGTTTACCAGATACTAAACAACTCCAACAATGAACACAAGATCTAACTCGCTCAAGGCAGTAAATTTACTCCAAATAGTAATACGAACCAACCAATTGCTATTCCCTGGATGATCAGACAATCTGAGATTCAAAACCCTTTTTACCCTCAATCCTGTTAATTTCAAAATATAAGACTTTATCATGCTACAACTCAAACGAACCCCAGGTACATTCGAAATGCTTGTTACAAATTTTACCACCAGCATTCTTTGAAAACAGTTTTCCTTAGTCTAAATAACCTAATTCACCCCATGATAATTTATGCACAAAGAAAATGGGTAGTGACTAAAAATTCTTTATAATCCGTATTTCCAGAATCCTTTAAAAAAATACTTAGGGAGGGAACGTTGATAACAGGGAAGACTCTGCATGTGTGGAGGCAAGCGATACATGGGGAATCTCCAATCTCTGTACCTTCCTCTCAATTTTACTGTGAACCTAAAACTTCTCTTAAGAAAAAAAAAAAGTCCTAAAAAATAGAGCATATTGATTCTTTTCTTGCCATCTAGTCCCATGAAACATACCTAAGAGTTTCCATTTCCTACATTGACTTTTAAAAACCACTTTGAAACATTCAACATGCCAAGAGAGAAAGATATTTTCAGGAAGGATGGGGGAAGAAAGCCTGAATGTTGGTTTAAGGAGCTCTACACATCGACATTATTGTCTAGATCACCAAATCCCATATAGCCTAAATAGGTGCAATAAAAAGACTACTTATTTTGGTAATAGTGAAATTGATGTAAAATGCAACTATTATGTGTACATAAAACATAATAGTACTGAAACTTGATTAATCAAGCTCATTTTATTGAGTGTGATTCCAAGAGAGACAATTTTCATAAGAAAGTCACAAATAATGTCTTGTTCAGAACACAGTTAATACAGCACATCTAGGATGCCATCATCAAAATAACTCAATTATTCAAGACCTGGAAAACTTCCCAACTATCTCTAAATAGAAAACTGGGATTATTATTAAAAACAGTATCTCAGTGGGTGACAGCTATGACACTCACCTTGACAGTGGAGCCGGCATAAAGCCTCTGAGCCAGCAACCTTCCTGCCTGGATCGCTACTGGGGTGAGCTCCAGCTTCCCCTCCAGAATATCGCCGATGGCGTAGATGTAAGGCACATTGGTCTGTTCTTCATCCGTGACAGGTATTTTTCCAGTCCTGCAAATTTATTCAGGTAAAAATCATCATTAATTACCACTATTAAGTAGAACAAAATTCCCTTTCTCCCAAAGAAGCCCAAATTGTGACTCTAGCTGAGGACAATGTACTAATATATGACCAAAACAAAACAACTCAGAGGAAATAAGGGCTTACAGACAATTCTGGTGGCTATTTTAAAAATTTCAGGAATAAGGAAACTACAACCCTGGAATGGGAAACTAGAACATAGTGGTTAAGAATAAGAACTCTAAATTACGATAACCAGGTCTGTTAGTTACTACCTCTGGGATCTTGGGAGAGCTATTTACCATCTCTAAGCCTCATTTTCCCTCTGTAAATAGGAATAATAATGAAAATATTAGTAAGAAGAAAAAGAACACCATCATCTACCTTGAGGGGCTGTGAGGACTGAATGAGACTGCATAAAAAACATTCAGCACAATAGTCCATGGCTCGCAGGAAGCACGGAATAAATGTTAGCTGCTAACACTATACGAAATCTGAACCTTGGATCCAATTGGAAACTAACTAGTAGGTTATAGAAAAAACGAATGAAAAAAATCCTTCTAATAGGATTAAAAAGCTCTTCTGAAGAAATGTGATTCCTACAAAGAACAGTAGCTCACCATTACTCCCAAGAATAGGAGCTTGCCACTCAAAGTACTTTTTTTTTTTACTTGCATGTAAGAAAGGCGATATTGGGAAATAGACCATGACACCCCTATAAGCAGATACCAGAGTCTCAGCTCTCCGGTGCAGGGGTACAGTCTAAAGGATTTTAACTTTTAAAATCCTTGAAGAAATAAAAGTTTTCATATTTGGCAGCTGTCACTAGAAATGTAGTGACCACTCTAGTGATCCTAAAACTTGTTTATCTTTAAACATGGCTCAAACCTACATATTTTAATGAAGCTAAAGGACATATCTGCAATTGACTGAGAGGGGTGGGGAAGGTTGGATCTTTTTCTGTATACATATAAAGAAACAAGCCAGTATATCTCTCATTTAGATTTTGAAAAGAAAAAAAAAAAAAAACATGAAATATTTTGAGTGACACTGAAAGAAGACATTTTCTGAGCTTAAAAAGGGAATTCCTCAACAATGGTAAAAATTAACTTTAAAAATATAGAACTCCAATATTAATATTATAAATACCTGAAAAAGTATTCAATGAGATATAATAAAGATTTTTTCCTTACTTTTCATTTATCTTTACCCCCACGGTTTCTAAGCCAATTTTTCTTGTGCAAGCATCTCTTCCTATTGCCAGCAATACCTGAAAAATTATTAATATATTGTGACTATTAACAAAAAGGCTTTGCATATGATATTTATTCCTATTTTTCTCTGCTTATTAAGCCAATCTCATTCACCCAGACTTGCAAAGAAATAGTTCATTAAGAAAATAATACAAGAGTTTAAACAAATTATAATCCTAAAAAAAAAAAAACCTTTGGACATGATACAGAAATCCTTATCCATTTCTTGCTAAGGAAAAGGGAGTTAACAATTCCTTAATAAACCTAGACAATTTTAAAGACCAAGATAGCATAGCCTATGACTGAATCCAGTTATTACAAATATTAAAAGTGGTAGAGGGGAATGACAGAACATAACATGAGACAGAGAAATTTGAGTTCATTTAAAAATGCTGATGCCTTGTTACAGCCATTCGCCAAACGATATTTTAAGTTATGGTGGAGAAAATTTGAAGCCATCCCTGTACCAAAACAAATTACAATTATCACAAGTAATAAAAATGTTTTAGAATAGGAAGAGAACCAAGGGTCTTAGAAACATAGATTTTAAGCATGCAGCAAATACCCAATAAGCACATAATTTGCTTTCTAATGAATCACTGACCTAGGTCCATTCCTTACCGTATTATACTCTTCTTTGATGACTGCGTCACTATTGGTGGACTTAGCTACCACCCTGAGACGGCCTGGTGTCCCTTCTTCTATTTGTTCAATCTATAAAAGTGATAAAGTTTTACTCCACAATAAAGACATGTATCAAGGTGAATAACTGTGTCCTCCTTTTCTATCTGGTTGACCCAAAGTTAAAACACAAAATCTGTCCCATCGCCCTCACCTTAACATCATTAGGACGATATGATTCTTTTATTAATCCCTTTCTTTCTCGCTCCTAATGTTTGCGAGAGGGGCTTTCCTTCAAACAGTTCTAAACAGAATAAAATTCAGCGAGAAAGGAGAAAGGGAAAGCCAGAGAAAGCACACTACAATCGCTAAAACCAAAGCAACGACTTACTGCTTTTCCCAGGCTCCTATCTTGTAACTCCCCCACAACCACTCATCCCCTGGAGAGCCACTGCTGCCCAAATTCAGAGATTCTCTTTTGACTACAAATGTTCAGCTTGTTCACAAAGGACAGACATGGAGACAGGTCAATCTTGATACAAACGACAGCTAGAAAAGCCCTAAAACCCACAGAAGTGTGTGGGTTTATCATGACGAGGGGCTGTCGTCAGGTGTGAAGGCTGCAGGGAGAAATGAGCAAATGCTGGCGCCTGTGCGAGGCCAGATGAAGTCCAACCTAGCAGCCCACTACACACAGATGTCAGTGACGGCCTACAGGCTGGGGGACAATGCCTGAGAAACCCTATCCTCAGGAGGCTTCCACAAATGTGTAGCTGCCTTTGATGTCTGAATAATGGTCAAATCATGGTTTCTGTAAAATATTTACTGGGAGAAATCCATAAAATTGCCTGCAGTTTCTACTCTACCTTTAAAATACAACCACTCTGTATGGGAAAATTGTCAAGGCTAATTTTTTTTTCAACATCACCAAATAGTAAAGATTTCCTTCGTGAACTCCCTTCCTTTCTTATCTTAAGTCCCTTTGAACGTCCTGGAAATGTCTTTCCTGTTTAACTGAGGTAAAATCTTTGGGGAAGAGCTGAATTGGTCCACAGCTTAGATTTGCTTAAAAAGGATAAGGGCCTCATCTCACCTCTAATTCTTTCCTGCCTTACTCACTTTTTGGTTCCAGTCTGGCCTTTTCTCTATCCAGAACAATTTCTGCACTTAGAACAATTTTAATCCCCAGAGCCTTTTTGCTCAAACTACGGTCTTTGTCCAAAATGTGCTCTCTCCCTCCTCTCTGCATGAAGCTCTTCCACTTGGCCACTTTCTACCACGTCGAGTGTTTACTACCAGCCTCCGGGGACCGGAGACGCCCTGGTAACCCAAGCAAAATGTTATGTGCACAGACACGGGTTTATTTCACTTGGGACAGTCCACCAGGTCCTCAAAGGGGCCCACAACTCCCCAAATGTTAAGATGTTATAAGGGAAGATGTTACTTTTCCATCAGTAAAGCATATACATACAGCTGTTGTTTTCTAATCACAGTCCTAATAACTTCCAGCAAATTTGCTACTTAATCCTCACAACAATATTATGAGATAGATTCATTTTAGACTTACTCTGTACCAGGTACTGTCTTTCTAAGTGTAAGGTAATGCCATCTGCACAAGGACTGAGACAGGTGCTATTATCAGCCCAATTTTATAAAAGAAACTGAAGCTCAGAGAGGTTAAATAATTCCCCCAAAGTCGTAGAGCAAGAAACTGGCAGAACAGTACTGAGTCCAGGTCATTCAGATCCCAACACTCACACCTTATCAACGCTAAGAGATTTCACGGTCATGCAACAAAACTAAGTTAACCCACTGAGCAATTTTTAAGTTGACAACTAAAATTCCCTGACTGTAACAAAACAGTCCCATCCTTACCTGCACTAAAGAAAACTATTAATGTGAGATACCCGAAGTGTTTGATTCTATCACTCTCATGTATTAAGACATTTGTGGTCATATTAACAAGTCCCAGTATGACCTGGCATATCATTCAGCCTTTTCAAAAGAAGATTAAATTAGCAAAAAAAAAAAGGCCAGCCCGCATCACAAAATTAAATAATGGTCTCCAGGAAAGCCAGAATAATACAGTGCCTCTGTTGACTATAGTGTACACAAAAGAGAAATGTCTTATGGAGAAAGTTTTAAAATCAGTCTAGTTTTGAACTCTTATTTAAATCACTGGTACGAATGAAGCAACACAGTGTAAGAGACAAGAGAAAATAAAGGAACGCATAAAGGGAAGCATTAAACAGAAGCGAACCAAAGGTAAGAAAGTTAAGACAGAACTGAAGAAATTATTAATCTGCAAATAAGAACAGAGCTATTCAGGTGGCAGGCAGACACAAGTTTATACACCAGTATCGCACGACTGAGGAATTATAGCATCCCTAATGGTTCATGATGCTGAAAGGATGCTTCCACCACCCACCCAACTCTTTCCTGACTGTTAACATGAGTATAGAACCAACAGACTTACAGACAACCCACTTACTTTTATTGGTACAAATTGTTTTATAAACTTGACACCGTGTTCTTCCATATGTTCACCAATTTTGTTGGCCATGTCCTGGTCAAATCCTCGAAGGAGAATGGACCGCACCATAACAGTGACGTCTAAACCAATGCCAGCAAGAAATCCAGCACATTCCAAAGCCACGTAGGATGCTCCGACCACCAGGGTCTTACCCGGGCAATAAGGTAAGGAGAAAAGATCATCGCTGAAAAGAAATTTTTTTAAAAAAAGGAAGAAAGAGAAATGTTCATATGTGAATAATGACCAAATCAAAGTAACTATTTTTACTCTCTGATGAAAAAGACACTTTTAAGATTTAAAACATTCAACTAGCTGCACACAGAACACACGAGACATTTTCATTATGTCTTCGCCTCTCTTTCTTTCCACCCAGTTGCTCGGGGAGTAGCGCAGTCTCCCGTGGCCACGCACGCAGACCATGTAACTCCTGACAGCAGCCCAGCTCACAGGCGAACAAAAGGACTCGGAACCCTTTGGAACAATTCCCTACCAGCGTGTTTAATATCATACATTTGCAAACCCAAACCCCCGCCCTCACTCTTCCCACCACTCAGCACTCTATGAGGTGTTCTTCTCTGGAACACCAATTATCAACAGTGGGAAGAAGAATGGGAAGAAACTTTCGACGCACTGTTTTTGTAATATAAAAGCAAGCTATAAAAAGTAAAACCTGACAAAATCTTCTAGTCGAGTGAAGAACATACAAGATGTGCTAGATATCGCAGAAGCACTGTTAGGAAATGAATTTTTTTAAATATGAGAAGGGAGCCTATTCAAGATAACAAAGAACATAACTGCTGTCTGAGCTGCTCCTATATGTGGCACAAAGGGAAAATATCATATCCCTACCCACCACACACACACACACACACACACACACAAAAGGGCCTAAAAAAGTAATTTATAACACAATCAGAAACTCCTGGGCAAAAAGCATCCAAGAGGACATATTTATCAACAATCTGCTTAATGTCTTCATGATTAAAAATACCTCCACAACAATGTTACTAGTATTATCACTTGATGGGCAAACATAAATCACGTAACAAAACCTTCCTCCTAGACTCAGTTATTTCAGAAGGTCCATATCCATGGCCACTGACCAAATGACAATGAATAGGGACTAGAGTTTGATAAACCTAATGGTCTGCATTAGTGTCCACAGTACAAGTATTTAAGAATAAGGTAATGTGTGTGTGTGTATCATTTTATAAAACGTTTGTGAATATCCATCTGGTTTTATGTTATACATTTATACTACATACTCACATACATACATTTCAAATACAAATATAAATTTAAACATACATCCATATGTTAGCAGTAATGTTAACAGTGGGTGGTGACATGACCAATGTTTATAGTTTTGAATTTTTACAATGTTCTTGTCTAAAATAATTTTTCCTTTCTCTTCTTCCCAAGCCTGCCACTTTAAGCAAAAAAAAAAAAAAAAAAAAAGAGGAGTTCTAGGAAATGGACTAAATGGGTTCGAAGAAAAAAGCAAAAGCATTAAATCCACAATGGGTTTTTCTTTCCTCCCTGCAATTTTGTCCTTACCTGCTGATGCAGTACTCTTTGTCACCAGGGATGCCCAAGTAACGCGGCCTTTCGCCAGTAGCAATGAGAAATCTCTCAGCTGAATAAATTTTTTCTCTGCCTTTGTTATTTGTTGCCTACAAAGGAACAAATGTGACAGCTTTGAGTAAGTTGTTATCCCGTAGAATTGTAAACTTTACAATTAAAAAAGCCCATTCACCACACCAATTCGATCCTTATAAAAATCTGATAATATGTAAGAGATATTAAGACTCTGAATAAGGACTTGCCCAAGGTCACAATGCTAGTAAGTGGCAGAGCCAAGACTCAAATCCAAGTCATCTGGCCCCAAACCCAGTACTCTTACCCTTTACCACACCACAAAAGAAAGCCCCATAAGATGTGATGGCAAAAATCGCCACACTGGACACTCCGGCTCACAGGGACTGTTACTTTCATTAGGATAATCACTTTCTCTTTTCCTCCCCAACCTCCAAACCACAGCTTAACACAAACAAACCAAAAAAAGCTCCTCAGGCTGTGCACCATTACCTTAATCCTATGAGGACCAATAAACTGCCCATATGCATTCTCATAGGTGACTTTCTTCTCCCGCAGAGCCACCCGGTAGCCCCAGTTCAGAGAGCCGATGTGATTCTGTACAGCTTCTGTCATTTTATCCCAGTCATGTTTAACTGCACAAGAAAAGAAGACAAAACGTTGAGCTTTTCAACTGCCTGGTAAAGATGGTTTCTCAGTAACTATTCACAGGAAATACAAAGGGCAAGAGTTTTTAGTTAAAAAGGGCAAGTCTTTCATTTCAAGCACAAAAACCACCTTTTCACCTTCAAATAGTCTTTCCTTTTTAGAAAACTACCATAATACTAAATAATGCAAAGCTTCCTGGCAATTTTTAAGACAAAAATAACCATTCACAACTTCTTTTCTTCTTTATCTGGAAATGAACAGAAATTTTACTTTGGATTATAAATACTGATTGCTGGGTTGACAAGGTGTGGTCAGGCCTAGGACTCTGTATTTGTAATAATCCCCGAGGGACTCTGATGTAGACAGGTTTGGCATTACCAAACTGATAACAGGGGCTGCAAACTGAGGCCCCTCGAGCCAAATCCAGCTCATCATCATTTTTATAAATAAAGTCTTATTGAAATATATCCACAATCATTTATTTATTTATTATCTAGAGCTGCTTTCATGCTACAATGGCAGAGTTGAATCGTTGTGACAGAGACCATATGGCTCATGAAGCCTAAAGTATTTACTCCCTGGTCCTTCACACAGTTTACTGACCCCTGGTCTAGACTGAAAATTTAAGAGTCTGTCTCATTGCCCCGCAAATCCTCATCTCACCAAAGACAGGAAAGTTTTTTAAAATTCTATGAAAATTAATCTTCTGAATCGAGGTACTAATATGGTATTAAATTTCAATGCATATTAAAATATTAATTAATGTCATTCATTAATAACATCAATGACTAAGAAAAACAGGATACAGATATAATATATGCTGGTGGTAGGAAGAAGGCAGGTTCTGGGGAAGCTGTGATTTGAAAAGAAGGACAAGAGAATCAACATATACTGAGAGCCTCTGTCACAGAAATGAGGAATCTGAGTTCTCAGGTTCAGGGTTAAGTAGCTCAGCAACACAAAGTGGTGAAATCAAGTCTTCGAGAGCCAACGGCTCTGCAAGTGGGAACGACAGCACAACAACTGGTTTGTGTCATCTTAGAGAACAGATTATAGGTATTCAATTCATAGAATCATAAAATGTTAGGACTGGAGCAAATCTTGAGAGATCTGTAAAAATTCTGTTTTAAGTGCCGGCAGAAGCCACTGTGGTGGGGATGCCAAGAGGACTGAGTGCTGGGGGATGGGGGAACAGGGGATGCTGCACAGACCAGACTATGAGTCTGGCATCCACCTACCACCACTATAAAAAGAAGAGGCAGGACTCACTGTTTCTCCACCAGGAATGGAACATAATTCCATTGGCACATGTAACTCACCCCCACATGCCAATCATCTAGCTACAGCAATTACCAACACTTTACCTACCTCACTTCATATACCTCTTTTTTTAAACTAGAATATTTAAAGCAAATCCCAGACATCATCTTATTGGTGGTGATGTTGGTTTGTCATAGTGACAGGAACGCCAAGGGCCAGTGATGTTAAATATCCTTCCTAACAACAGTTCCTTACAACTAGGAGCTGTCCAACCAAACGTGCCAATGACGCCCCCACAGAGAAACAAGGAACTAGATTACAGGGAGGCTTCACTTCTGAAATCTTATAGTTGTAGAACTACTAAGTGAATTATCTTCTGCTAATCATACAGGAGAAACCACGTTCTAAAAGACAGAGTTGAGATTAAATAATAGCACCGATAAATTCAGTTATTTCACTGATTAAACCTACTGCAAACCTTAATTCTGGTTAAAGCCTATCAGACCTCACCTGATTTCCAAACTCCTCAAACCCCATTTCCACCGAAGTCCCTTCATCCTCTGGTACAATAGGCAGCCAACCCCAGCCACCCCCAATCTCTGGTGTGATTACGCTCAGGCAGAAGGAATTTAATGGTTCCACCCATCAGTTTGGGATTCAACATCAAGCCACTCTAGCTGCTCCGATGGCCCTGACCTTGCATTCCATTCTGAGAACTGAGTTTCTGGTCTTGTAAAATCCAAATTCCTACTTTATATACTACTGGTGGTAGTTGCTGGGAGTAGTGATACGCCTGGAACCCTAGTTCTTTAGGGCTGCCTCGCCTTCTGGTAATGCCCCAAATCTTCCCCCTTCCTGCATTCCCGAATATTTCCTGGAGAGTCCACATCCCCACACTCAGCCCATCTGCTGGCATAGCCTCAACATTTCTCCAAGGCCTCTTGAGTCCCCTGGCCTGGTCTACCATTAGTAATCCAATGCTAAGCCTCTGGAAATTAGACTCTAGATGGCCAGGCAGGATTTGTGTTTCACCTGGGTGTGCCTTTCTGCCTGCCACAGCAGCTGGATCACAAGCCATCTCTCTGTTGCCCCTCAGCCCACTGCAGAGAGCCAGGCCACCCCTTTAGATTCGACAATGGTAATCAGACTAGCAGAACCACCTAGGATCTTTAATATCTTCAGTGCACCATCTCATGTGAACTTCAAAACACCTGCAGGGGCACGAACTACTTCCACTATACACACAGAAAATGAAGGATGGATGACCGGCCCGAGGCCTCACGCTAACTCGCAGACACAGGCACACTGGATGTGAAACATCAGGCGTGATAGGAGTACACATCCCAAACTGCGAGCCCCGCATTGTGAACCAATGCCCTTGCTTTCTCTGTAATGCAAATGGATCCGAAAACTTCCCAAATGCTTAATATTTTAAAGGCACATTTAATTGAGCATAGGAGAACTCAAGTAGAGAAATCTGAAAAAATATAAATCCTATAAACCTTTCAGAAAGGACCAATTCATCCAGTTTACATGCCTGAGCTCAAGTAATTTTTTTTTTTTTTTAAGGCTTGAGACTCTCTCTGCACATTCTCCATTTGGAATTTGGAGCTTGGGGGAAAGGGCAGATCACAGGCTGAGTCCTTGACCTGTCGCTCCCCCATCACCAAGCAGATTCGGCTGTGCTGCCTGGCCCAGGTCCCTTTCCTCCCTCATCACACTTAGAGTTATTTGCAGCGTCAGAGAAGACAGCCTTCCCAGAAAATTGGAACACTGTTCTTTGGTGAAGGACATGAGATTAGATGTGTTTTATTCGAAAAATGCAAAAGAAGTCTTAAGCTTTATCTGTTGGAGCAGCCTCTAGGGGTTTCTCATTTGAAAAATACACCTCCAAGTTTCTTTCCTCTTCTAAGATCTAATACATAAACGTTTGTCTAAATCCACATAATTTCACCACCATCATTTTAGCATTAAGAGGAGGGAGGTAGTCATTGCTCCCTCAGTGGGGGGTCCTGGCAGTCAAGGCAGGCCACGCCCACGAAGCCCAGGTCTGGTACTCACAGCCAGGCCACAGCTTGCTTCGGAAGGCCCAAGGCTTAATGAGAAAAATCAGTGATCACAATAAAGAAACCACCAGGCTTTACTTGGGAGAAGTGAAGGGATGTAACTAGAAGGCACAGCTCTTCAACAGCTCTCATCAAAGTCTTGGGACTACTGCTAACCAATACCTGAGGTGGAAGGTTTAAAAAGAGAAAACTATGTATTTCTACCTTAAAATCTGGAAAAGAGGAAGAAACACAAGAAAGGTAAAGGTAAAATTAGTTGGATAAATGATTTCTGTCAGGATAGACAAATAAGACAACTGTGATTTGGTTCAAGTTTTAAAATCCCATGAAATTCAAGAATCTTCTGCTGGTTTTAAAGTAAAGATGTAACTGTGCCAGTAGTGGCTCTTTGTTACCTCAGGTCACTATATGTTTATTCGTTCCTTATTATATAATTTAGAAATAAATTCAAAATAAATAAGCATAACCAGTGCTTATTATTATGTGGCAGCTGCAGAGATGTTCTTTTGCTGGAAAGAAGATTTGTCAATTCACCAAGTTTATTTCGTCACCCACCTGATTACTGAATTTATTAAAATTACACCTAGTTGGCCTGCTAATAAAATTCACATTCGGCAGAGGTCTGTACTTATGTCTTACTTTTCTAAGATTCTAAAGACCCACTATTCCTACATTTCTAACCAAATTAAGCAATTCTGTCCCATTGACTTCACTGTGCGTAAGAGTTGGTAGTTTAAAGCTAACATCAACTAGTACAACATAACAATTTCTGTACTAGACCCTACGTGAATGAATAAAAATTTTATGATGCCAAGTTATACCTCCCCAGCAATGTTCATTTACCGAGACTTAAGGGCCAGTGGCATTCACTATGAATAAGACAGGCTATGGAAATTATACCGCTGCATAAATAAAAATCTGCTTGGAACAACCTTACTTTTTCCAACAAATCCTAGACTTCTTCGGATTAATATTCTTGTTGAATGTCTTTCTTTTTAAGAGGGAACAAACTTGCTTCAAATATAAACTTCCTATAACATCTGTAAATGTTTTTCTACAACCCATTAAACGAAGAACCAAGAAAAGTGCTTGGCTGAAGCTACTCCAATTTACTGAAACTCTGATGAAAGAATTAAAAAGAGGAAAGGACAGAAACTAACATTTGTCGAGTGGCAGATATTTTAATTACATTATTGTTATTTAATCCTCATCGCACAGGCGGTAGACAACAAAGTCAGAATCTGTGTCTCGGTCCATGTTCTGTACTAACCCACACTTTAATGGGTCAGGAAGGCTGGGGTGAGGAGCTAACCCTACATAACTGGGAAAGAAGTCCCACTGAGAACTGTGGTAAAGAGTATGTGTGGAATAATTTGGGGGAGGAGGGAAAATAAAATGGGTAGTTTTATGTTTTCCTCCCAAAGGCACAGATAAAAAATGGAATATGGCCTACAGATTACATATATAACTTGCCCCTTTTGGGGAGAGCATGGTAAGGAAAGGCACACTCATAGCCATGGCAAAAACTCTCTTGTGTATGCCTGCCTCTAGAACAGCTCCTAAAGCTCTGGTCCATTCAAAGGAGCTGCCACTGAAGCCAGCATGGCTTGGAGACGGCCCATGGTATAAACCTCATGTGCTTCAAAGTCAAAAATGCTTCAGTCTAAATCCTAGTGCCACTGATTTCTTAGCTACGAAATGGGTGACCTACTTCACCTCCTAGAACTTGTTTCCTTGTCTGACAAATGGGAGCAACAGGATCTCCCTCCAGGAACAGCAGGGTTACATATGCGCTGGAACAGAGATGGAATGGAGAATAAAGGGTAATAGGAGATGATCGATCCTGACCTGCAGAACCTAAATGAATCCACATGATGCTGGCGGGAGGTTGAGATGGGGAGCTGGGGAAGACGGTAGCTTCCTGTCTGCTGCAGCTCTGGTCTTGACCCTCTCTCCCCATTTTCTTCCTGCTACTATACCCAGAGCCATGAAAAGAAGTATTCAAAAGCATCTGTTCCAACCTGCCCTCAGTAAAATCGTGCAGCTGGCAAGCTAGTCTACATGTTCCTCCTACTATCTCTCTCTCAAACCACCTGGGGTGCTCAGCCCACAGCGCCAGTCCTCACGCCCACTCCTCATACACGTTCCCCACACACGCAGGCTCCAGACACACCAGAATATTTGCTATTCTTCAAATACGTATCTCATTCGTTCTCTTTTCACTGCCTAAATGAAATGACCTTCCCCTCCTCTGCTGATTGTCAAGGACACAACATCTTTTAAATCACATGTTCCAATTCCACCTCCAGGTTCCCAGGGTACTTGGTTTGTACATCAATGAATCAGTATATCAATGATAAGAGAATCTGTGTACCTACATGAATTGTATTATTTATCCCATATTGTCCCAGCACAGACTCAAGTGCAAATAGTGGGCACACTACTAGTAATATTCTATAACTTCATCACAGAAGTTCTAAAATGTCCACTAAGAAGTCTAATAAATTAGAAGGGAGACCCTGATGTCAGCAGGTACATCTGCAGGCTTTCAGGAAGGGACAGAGTATGCTCATGGTAGACTTGGTTGGTAGGCATTCAGACACGGGAGTAAATAACTTTGGAGGTGGACTATCAGCAGCTTATGTGTTAAGATTTTCCCTCAAATGTCACATACCCCATAGATCTCAAAACTAAAATCAGATAGGGGCTGGAGTGTCGTCCTTCAAGGACATAGTGACCTAGGTTACTAATTAGCCAAGAAGCTATGCCAGGCCTATTATTCTTCTAGCAGGTAACACAATCTAGTTTCTGAAGTCAACAAATTCCTCTTCAACTTTTCTAGGGCTTCTAGAGCACTCTAAATAGTTTTAATACAACAAACAATCCCCTTTTCAATAAACAAACCATCCCTCCAACCCCCAAAATATCAGCTCATGAAACAGATTTCTTTGGAGGAAGAGAAAAATGCAATGACTTCAAAGAAAAGCAAATGTAATTTGTACTCCCTTATGAAACTCTATGAGAATTTATTTGTAAAAATTCTGGTTTTCTATTAAATAAAGATACTCCGAGTGCAATGCCTGTTCTAACTATAACAGCTATATAGCTACCTGACACAGGGTAACTGAAGTTATTTTTATCCATTAAAAATGTAAAGAATAAAAACAACTTCCAGGTTATTGCTAGTCTCGTAAAAATAAATGGTGTATTGCAGTATCACAGCTCAAACCCCCAGAAGCACAAACGGAAGCACAACGCTCCCCACCCATACCCGTCTCCTCGACGGTCCAGCCGTAGTTTCGGGAGTCTCGCAGGGCCTGTCCTAACAAAGCTGCCTGGTGCATCAGTTTTTTTGGTATGCAACCCACATTCACGCATGTTCCTCCGAGACCTGCAACGACATTGAGAAATCGGTTTACAGCCTGCTTTACGATCCTTCAAAGGGAAAGGTCCGTGACTGTTACTATTCTATGAACCATCATAATTTACTTGCTTAATGTAGCCAATGCTGTTTACACAAATTTATATCTACGTCTTGTGACATTTCTAAGGTCAGAGTCTTACGTACCGAACACAGTGACTAAAACAAAACATCCTAAAACAAAACAAAAATGAAATTGCCACAATTTCCACATACTTCTAAGATTCAACATTAGCTGACTGCTGATAAAGATGCCAGACATTGAAATTTCGCTTCATGCACAGCCCTAGACTTGGCATGAGTCTATGATGAGAACTACCTGACAAAGGGGTTGTGAAGCTGGGCATAACTGGACTGCGGTGGGTCTGGAACTTCATATAAAATTTGGTGTATGTGAACGGTTTTTAAACTGCATTATTAAGGAATCCAGTCCTCTGACTGTCACGGTTAACAGTGACAAGTTCTGGAGGTGACTACGCCCCGCTCTAGACTCTCTCCTCTCTCTATTTCAACTGAAGACCCAGACTCATAAGGCCCCGACCCCTGCCCCTCTATTCCTGGCAGATGCCAAAGCCAACCATGTAAGAGGCTTTTTCAGAGGAGAAGACAATTTTGTCTTCCCAGAAGACAAATCCTCTATTTTGCTTTATGAGGCAGATAGCAACCCCAAACCACAGACAGGTTGGGACCTGCGCAGGCCTCAATACATGAAAAGCCTTCGGCTTTCGCTGATTCTCACAAAAGGATTAGTGATAAAAAAAAAAAAAAGAGTTTACCATGGCTGAGTTTAAAGAGCATAGTGACAGCTGTCTCCGTAAGAACAAAATGTAGGCAGGTGGGGAGGTGAATAAAATGGCATGAGCATGATGAATGCAAGATGGTAGCGGACTTCGCAGCTCAGGAAACATAAACCCTCTGAGGAAAATGCTACCAGTGTCACTATGGAGTGTAAGGCCAGATGGACTATGCCCATCACAAAAAGAGTGCCTGACACAAAACTGACACCTAATAAATATTTGCTGAACGGATGAATTAGAAATTGTGATACTGTCTTATCTAGACTTCCTGCTTCTTGCCTCCTAATTCCACTACCTGAAGCATCTTGATAAAATTTCCAGCTCACATTACTCTCATCCTCAAAGCCTTCCCACTAAGCTTTGATTAGATCTAAATTCCTCATCCTGGCCTACAGAGACCCACCTGTTCACTCTGACACCTGCCTTCCTCTCCAATCTTACCTCTAGCTTCTACTACCCCACACCATAACCACGAAGGACTCTTGCCTACCTCAGGGCCTTTGTATGTGCTGTTCTGTGAGACAGACAGAGAAATGATGCCTATAAGCTTCTTCAGCTTTTGGCATAGCTGGCTCATTCTTATTCTTTTGGTCTCATCTAAATGCCAACTCTTCAGAGACCTTCCTTCATATCTTCTCAAAGCTGAACTCTTTACCCAGTTTCTCTCTATCGCACCACATAATGTTTTCAATAACACTTGTCACAATTTTGCAAAGTTCTTGCTTCTCTTTGGTCTCCCTACTAGAACATGAATAAACTCCAGAAAGGCAGGAAATCCACGTCTACTGTGTTCACTGCTATATTCCCATAGCCCTGGTTCATAAAAAGTGTTCAGTAAATACTTGTTAAATAAATGAAAAATGAACACACAATTCACCAAGACTCAAAAGAAGCAAGGGCTATCTATTAAGGTGTGTGATTCCAGTTCCTGCCGAATGTAGAAGGTAGGCTTAAAACAGATATTCAGAAATAAAGAGTTTAAACTTTTCATTATTAAATCCCTAAGTATACTAAGTTATAGAAATATTTAGCCAGAAATCATCATAACAGCTGTAGGGAAGGTTTTGTATTATCTTGATTCTGTGCCAAAGAACCTAACTTTTCAACAATTAACTGGAGTCCCTTTTAACTTAGCACAAATAAAAGAGGTACATGGTTTGTTTTTTTTTCAATTTGTTTGTTTTTAATTTGAGTTTTAGGAGCCACTTAAACCAATATTAGAGAAAAATCTGCTCCTACAAATTCACTTCTAAAATATTTTAAAAGCTTACCCCATCTAGTTCCGAGAGGAGTTGGAGTAACAAAATCCAGTACCATAACCTTCTTGTTATACTTGGCTGCCTCCTAGAAAATAAAATTATTGAAATGAGTTGGAAGGGTTATCATGATAGACTGCAAGCAGGCTGTTAAAAATCCATTCTATTTTTATTAAGCTATAATGCCTAAAGCACAGCCAGTTATTAATACCTGGGCTTTTTCATATGCTAGGACGATTAGTACAAATTCAAGATAAAAATTAAGTGACAGTCACAAGAGCAGCTTTAAAAAATTTGCAGATTATAGTTGTGAAATTGTCCATCGACTGGAAACCCTAGAATCTTCTTATATAATTCCACTCCAACAGTAATAAATTAAGCAATAATCTGAAAAACATATGCCCATTTCTAAGCAAGTGGTAAGCAGCCAGCAAAACAGATTTACTGACAGTCAACAACCCCTGGATTCAGCCTGTGTCCTATAAGGTAATATTTTTTAAGTACTTTTAAGTTTTATTTCAGTTTCCACACAGAATATTAGAGAAGTTTTTCTTCTGAAACTGTCAGATTTCCTTAAATTTTCAAGTGTGGAGTCAATGACAAAGTTGTTGGTGTCTACAAGGTTTCCAAATCTATTCTAGGAGAGTGATGACAACAGTCAGAAGTTCACTGTGCAGAGGACCCCTCATCTTTCTCAGAGAATACACTTTGTGTGCCGGTGACTAGACCTCCAAAGGTTATCTGAAAGGACTGAGGCTATGTGTCCTTCAAAACCACCATCGTGACAGTAAAATACATGTATTTGGATTAGTCCTGAGTCCTTTACAGCAAAGCACTGCTTGACAACGGACATTGGCCTGCTCCCCATTTGAGCAGCTTCATTTGAATCTACGTTTACTGATTCACCATAAGCTACACCTTAGGGGTGTATAAGCACCTCATCTTTTACAAGAAACTCCTCAGGAAGAGTTCCAGGGGCCCCTTCGCACATGGAAAATGTATCCCAGTTCCCGGCCAGGGGCCTCACTCCTAACCTCCTGTTTATATATTCTCTACCCATCACCCCCAGCACACAGAGTTAGTGTTTTTCTCTTAGCTCACTTGATACACACAGGAGGCAAATGATCTTTACCAAGTTTAAGAAATCCAATTGCTCTCCACATTTCTATTGAGGAGGAGTTGTTGTGAATAGGGGAAATTATCACAGTGGGGAAAAAAACAAATATTAATATTTATAAAAAATTAAAAATATATTTATTTAATTTCAAACCATTTCCGTACAACCACCTCATTATCTTTGAAAAAGCAAACAAACCTAAATGAACGAAAATGTGTCCCAAAATATTGCGTCCAGTACTTTCATCCAAAGAACATATAGTTCGACCTGGAAAAATGGTATATGAAGTGGTGGTCCCATAACGTGTCCTATCCAAGTTAATGTGCAAAAAGGCACAAGAGTGGCTCAAACAAATCCCACAGAGAACCTGGAGGACTTTCGCAACCCAGAAACACACGAGGAGCCTTGCCTTAGCAGCTGCCAATCCTCCTGAGCCCCCTCCAATGATGATGAGGTCATAATCATAGGACTCGGGATGATCCTCAGAGCCATTCATTGTCAGTAGCTTTTGAAGTCTGCCCTCTTGATAAGCCTAAAAAAAGAAAAACAATGAGAGGGAAAAGAATTTAACTTAAAAGCAGCAATGTCCAAAGAGCTTTTTTTTTTTTCATTTATACATTTTTATTTGGAAATGTTTATATCAGTACAGTGAAAATAAATTTTAAGAGACTTTGAATGCCATTAGTTTTGGATATCATTAATTTATCATAAAAGAGACATGGAAATTATTTACATGATGAGATTTCAGAACTTCAGTGGAATGGGCAGCAGCTTCACAGGGTGCCATTTCAATAGTGATTTATTTCAGTCTACATACTTTCCGAGGATGTTGCCATCTCTAAATAAGAAAAAGTCCTTGTCATCTAAACTACTTTGGTGCCTCCATAAAATTGTCTCCAACTTTAACGCTAACTGGTTGAATCTCTCCACCCTTTCCTTTAGAGCCTCATCCAACAGCTACTGTTGCTTGCAATACTTTTCCTTGAGATTTTTCTGGAAGCACAATGCCTCCTTTGGTTACAGTTTCCGCAGCACTCCTTCCAACGAATACTCGGTCAAGAGGGGAAGAAACTTTCTAAATGCCTGTCCTGCCTGGGCCCGTGGGTCTCTGGCACACGCAGGATTCACCATGACTTTTCCAGAAGAGGTTTCTGAGAAAACCTTTCCTTAAAGAAAAGCAAAAGAAATTTGCCAGAAAAAAAAAAATGTGGTCTGATTTCTATCACAATACACAAACAGAAACGTGCGACTTTTTCGCATCGCAGATAACTACTTTGAAGTGTTCATAAAGTACTTTCACATAAGTAAGGTCTTGATGGCCCAACAAAATCAACTTCGGCCTAAATTAAGTTTGATCAGCCCTTTCTTCCTGGAACTTTTAAACCAGGTTCTAAATTAGGTTTGTAAAACATCTGTACCATATGTTTTTAACAGAGCCATCAATACAACTTGGCAATCATCCTTACTTTCTAGTCAAAGGTAGAGAATAATGAGTGGACTAAGGTCTCAGATTAAGGTAGGGGCCTGGTAAATAGCAACTGAAAGAGATTAGCCAGATAGTTAGGACTTTTCTGCACTGTTGAGGTAAGGCATAAAATCAAGAAATTTAAAACAAAATCATTAACTGACATACACCTGCTTCAAAAGTTAAATGTAAAAGTCCCTGCTTTTGCAGTGCATTTTAAATAAGCAAGAAAAAAGGAAAGTGGGCACTCTGTAAAACTCGTTTTTTTAATCTACTTATGCACGAAGCATCCTGTTATATTTAGTATTTAGTTTCCTTGTACTTGTGATGTGACAGGCTTTATAAGGGTTAGACTTCTCAGTTTAAATCATCATTTCGTTCCCTTAGTATTTACACCCATTAGTTACATTTCATATTAGCTTTGAACACTTTTGGTGATATATTTAACATTACCTTTTATTAAAACAAAAATCTGTGCTAAGATGAGATAATGACTAAAAAAGTTAATACGCACCAAAAAATTTTTTTCTAAAAATCAAGTTTTAACCTTAATTTTAAAAAAGCTCCCAAACTTACCAGCCTAGACTGTACATTTTTCTCCTGACTACCATCAGATGTGGGGGATGAAAGGCAGAGCTTAGGGTCAGCAGAACAGGATGTTTGGGGTGTGGAAGGGGGCGCAGTGGAGGATGGAGGAGGAGGCGCGGCACTGTGGCTGCCCCTTGGCAGCACGGCAGGTACACATGATGGCTCAGGGACTGAAGGGAGAACACCTGGAAGCCAGCAACAATGGGGACAAGACTGCGTCACCCTGACCGTCTGTACAAAAGGTCTAACATGAGAGGCTGGTAAACACAGCCAGTATTCATCAACTGGCATTATGGCAGAGGCTCCTCCTTCAATACAAGGCACTGTGGGGGGAAAAACAATTTGGTGATAATAGCCATTTGCATCAAAGAATCAATGTAAGCTTCAAATAACAAGTTACTCTCCATTTGGCCTCGAAGAGCATAAGGCTGACTTGCTGGTTTGAGAGAATTAACTAATAAATACAGCTAGACGTTCTTCTAGAAAATAACCATTTTTAATCTCAGCCGCATTTTATCTGCATGTACTTAACCCAGATGGTGCCAGAACACAATCACTGGCTGCCTCAGAGAAAACCAGCAGTTCTTATAACACCCTCCCTCAACAGATCTACTTGAACAAAAGAAAGAAAATGCACTGTCATGCTGAAAAGTCACATACTTCTCCCCAAGGATGTTTACAATCTGTTCTGCACTGAAATTCTGTATCGGACCTGGGTTCTTATGATTCAAGGTTAAAGTCAAATTACATCAACCAGTGCCCAGATTTTACAATGAAAGCTCTGAGTGAGCCTGAACATGTTCAACTGTAAAATCAGTAAGAAGCATTCAGCTGATCCCCAGAACTAAACATGATGTCTTTGCATTTTAATCCAACTTAAAACTGAAATTGCTGTCATTCAGCTCCAGGTAAGTGGTTTCCCACCTGAAATATAAATAAGATAGACAGCAGAAGGCAGCTCCCCAGACAGTGTAAGGAAGGAGCACACAGATGGGGTAAGGAGAGACAAGAGAGAAATGCTCCCCGCTTTCTCCTCCAATTCCAACTGCTAGAAATAGTGACTGCTGGTCACAGTCGCTGATATAGGAGTTCTCAAATTTTTTAGTCTCAGGATCCCTTTACGACCTTAATTTACTTAGGACCCCAAAGAGTTTTGGTTCATAGGGTTTATTTATTAATATTTAGCATATCAGAAATCAAAACCAAGAAAAATTTTAATACTTTAAAATATTAAATATCTTAAATATTATTAAACATAAAATATTAAAAAGTTTTAATTAGCAAGAAGAGTGGCATGTTTTATATCTTTGTAATTGTCTTTAAGTGTATATCATAATAAAAGGCAGCTCATATCTTTTCTGTGTTCTGTTGTAATATCACCTGTCACGTAGCTTCTGGAAAACTCCATGGTATACTTGCAAGAGAATTAGAGTGAAAAGGGCAAACAGCAACTTAGTATTATGAAGATAATTTTGACCTCAAGGACTTCCTGAAGGGGCCTCAGGGGCCCCCAGAGGAATCCAGACCACACTTTGAGGACCACTGCTATAGGACATAAGGATAAACACACAACACCTTACCTGCAGGTGTTTGCTGGGCTTACTACATGTTGGCTATTCTTCCCTTTCTTCCACCCATCTCACAGCAACGCCTTTCTCGCACCCACAACCCCAGTAAAACTGCTCCAGATCTGCCCCCAGCTCCCCGCAAAAGGGCCAAAAACAATCCAAGTGTGCAAAAACAAGGCTGAAAGCAATTCAAGTGTGCCTATTTCTTTAAAATTAGAATAAGTAATCTTTATTTTCCCTCAAAGCATGATTTATATCCTTGGGCACAGATTTATACTGAGTTTTCTCACCATTATACGTGAGTTCCAGCATTGAACTGACCTGGGTTAAAATACTTGCTCTACCACTCCCCAAACTAGATCATTATGTGCTGGCTGGAAAATTACTGCTTGGCTATCGCCTATGGGAACATAGGCTATCGTCCATGGGAGCATAACATACTAACAATAAGCTTTCTGCTTCTGTACTCCCGCTTGCACAACGGACCTGTGTGTTGGCAGGTGGTGAATAGGAGAAAAATAGACCTTTGTGTTTAAGACAGAATGAGGAATGAGATTTAGGGCTTAAAAACTCTGTACCTCTACATTTCGGGGCTGCTTAATTTGGGGTCTGCGTACCCCTGGCAGATCCAGCTGGCTGAATTGAGAGTGTGTTTCCTATAACTCACTGATTTCTGGTGGTCCGTGTGTCTTTCGGGGGCTGGCGGCCACAACAATTAGGGCTAATAGCCTGATTCTTAGGAGTCTCTGTCTTTACATTTGTAAAATGAAGTTATATACTCCTGTAATTCACCAATCTGCAGAGTTTAAATGAGATAAAACAAAGCAGCACAGTGGCTGGGAGGGAAAATCCCTTTACGTTACTAACTCTCCCCTATCTAAAGAAGGGAATCTGACTGGAACTAAGTCAAAAAGCTCTAGAGTGTTTCACAGATGTCCCCTGCACTCCCCTGTACTCCCCACCTCCCTCAACTACTTGAAATGCCTTCTTCCCATCAAATCCTGATCCAGTACATAGACAGACTGAAGGATGTTATCTTGTTTTTATTCAATGTGTACAAACACAGCACCCTTTCTAACACATTCCTTTAGGGTTTAAAGGATTCTTTTATCAAGGTTCTAAGACTCTAACATAAGTCCCATTTCCTCCACTGCCTCCCTCAAGCTCCCAAACAACATTCTCTCTTTTCTTTCTTGCGACTCAATTAACATATGCTATCAAGGAGCACTTATTAGCACAGGCTGTTCTACCCTAGCCCCTTCACGTCCTTCAAGATTTAGCTGGGAACCTTTACTTGATAGTGCACAAGTTGGGTCCTCCTCTGAGATCCCCGCTGGCATCACTGCACAGTCCCATCAACTCTGCAAGGACAGGCATCCTGTCTTTCATCTCTGCATCACGAATGCCAACTTTGCATGTATATGATGTTCAAAAACATTTCCGAACAAAAGACTTGGGTGCTAGTTCCTAATCTCTTATGTATACTGAGAGGCTGGGTTTCAGTTCTGTGTTCTCATCCACAAAAATAAAACTGTGGAAAAACACTAAAGTACAAAAGGGAATGGCACAGTGGGTTAGAAGTCCGGATTTGGTCAAAATGTGGACCTGACTTTGCCACTTATGTATGATCTTGGGCAAGTTCCTTAAATTCTCTTGCCCGGGTCCTTGTTTGCAGAGATAAATAATCTCCACCAGGTCCCAACTTCTTGTTTACTTTGAAATCTGACTGCTCTGTTGCTGACATGGGGCAGCATCCATTGGGGTTGTACCTCAAGCCCCTTCGTGCTTTGGAGGATTATGGGCCAGCAAAGAAATAACATTAAATGGTGGTATGAATGCTACAGACCTTCTAGAAGACACTGGGCCCTAGGCCTATGACAGGAGTTGGCAAACTACATACAGCCTGTGAGGCAAATCCAGGAGGCCTATTTTATAGCCCCTGAGCCAATAATGGTTATTAACATTTTCAAATGGTAAGGAAGAAAAAATTTAGAGGAATAGTTCATAATACATAAAAATTATATGAAATTCAAATAAAATTTTATTGGAAAACAGCCCATTTGTTTCAATACTGTCTATAACTGCTGTTTTGGCAACAACAGCATAGTTGATTAGTTTCAGCAGAGGTCATATGGCCCACAAAGCTTAAAATATTTACTATCTGGCTTTTTGCAGAAAAGAAGTTGCCAACTCCTAGCCTAAGGAAATTTTGAGTCAATGTCGATGGGTAATGCTAGGTGGGAAGTACAAACAGTAATACTGAGATGAGTACAAATCAAAGAATCATCTTCCTGCTCAGTAAAGTAGAGATGC